GGCCAAGTACGACCCCCTCCCATGTGGTTCACACAATGATGCTGTACCCTGTTCCCCGATCCCTACCCTATTGCAATGGGCCTGAGGATGGGCATAACCAGTAAGACAATATCAATCAGGTTGCTTTGGATTCTACCCGATTCAGTTTATGAAGGACAGAAAAGCCAAAATGAGTCAGAAAGTGGCTTTTCGATTGTTTTGAACCGGCCGGTAGAAAGCGGGTGGCAAATTCTTATAGAAGCAGCCATCTCCAAGGCCTCAAGAGAGGCTTGACTTTGAGTGAATATTTTCGGATTCATAGGTATTTCCAGGGTTTAACCCGACGTTTGACTTTGAGTTCTCCTTTTCTCAGCATCTTTTATGTCCTTACTTTCTGAAATAGACAATGGAAAGATGAGTCAAAAAGTTCGAAAATATTTTCAGGCGCGTCAACGACAATCAATGGCGTCAACTGAGCATTGAACGTATCGGTAGAACGGCAACGGTGAAACTCTACAAGCCGAACAGCGATGAAGTAGGTTTAGAACTCAATTTCTTTATTTTTAATTCTTTTGTGGTTTGATTTTTTGGAGAGTCCTAAAAAATCTGTACAATGAGGAGTTTCCAGGTGGAAGAGGTACAAAAAGGTACGGCTGAGGGCAACAAGAGTATTCTCAATCTACATCAGACGATGAGCCGCCTGTTTGTTGGAGGAATACCGGCCGGCAGTAGGGTAAGATATACTTGTTATTGATTACCTGAACTAAAGTAGTTGTCATAATTGACTTTCGAGTAGAATTACTGATTCCAGATTGCCAGCGAAGTACGTAATCGTGCCTTCGAAGGAGATATTGAAGATTTGACCCTGCACGGTGAACCAGTCGGACTGTGGAATGCGAAGAGCGGTGGTGCAGTGAGAGTTCGTGGAGCAGAGCCTCGTCCGCGCACCAAGGAACCCTCTGCACAGCCAGGTACTGATAGATCGAACGCCTAACCGAACTTTCAGCAAATAAATGAGTTACTGCTTGTTTTAGGAGTATCTCTGAATGGTGATGGCTATATCGTGTACCAAATGGGATACTGGAATCCTCGTAAACGCGCGGTGTTCTCCTTGTCGTTCCTCACCTTCTCACCAGACGGCTTGCTATTCTTCATAGGAAAAGATGTAAGTAATACATCGATTAAATTGGAATTTGTTAGCCAGCCAAACGAAGTAAGCTCTTTTTCAGCGTGACTTCTTTTGCTGGAGTTATCAGCTGGAAATGTGAAGTTTGTCCACTCGAGGACTTCGATCCGTGGCAGGCACAATGAGCTTGCCCTGATACCAACTACATACAACGATGGACAGTCATACGGTATATGGGGCTGAAGAGATGAGCGACATGTGAAGATGGAGGTTGACGGAGTTACGGTGGGATTTCACTACGATAACTGCTTTTTAAAACTTCTTTGGGGTACTGCTTTGAAACAAAGGAACTCAAGCTAGAGCGGTCACAGGATGCCGCAAAATCGGTTACTTTCTCAGTGGATAAAGTGATGATAGGCATGATCCACGTTGGTTGTTTGGGCGGGGCTAAGCCTTCCAATATGCCTTCTTCGGAAGTATAGTCCTTCTATTCAGCAGAAATGAGCATTAGGGAGATAGACGTTTTGGTTTGTCCAACTCCGCCCTCACGACGAGCACGAAATAGACTTTTAAGTAGTTCGGCCGTTGGATTAGAACATGTTCCATATCGCTTGTATTGCCGCACACTCGTGCCCTTTAGTTACTCACCCGTGTACGTCATGATCCCTGCAACGATATGCCTCTGCACGAACAATAATGACGTGGGCACAAAACGGCAGGCATGGCTCTATTGGGGCTGCATTCCGGCACGCAATAGTGCCCTGTTTGGCTACTTCGCGGAAAAGTCTCCATGCTGAAGCTAAGTACGCCCATCATCATGCCCTTTTGTAGCGGGGAGCTTGACTAATGGGACTGAAAGTCAAAACATGCTCCATTTAAGTGATTCAAACGAAGAGTTGCAGGTTGCTGAGGGCGATGCTCCAGGTGAAATGTCGACGCTGAGCGTCACTGACTACTTGTACCTTGGAGGAACACCGGCTGGTGTCAATACGTGAGTTTTTATCTTATAAAGTCTCAGAATTCGATCCCGATAACGATATTTCTGCTGAAAGATCTTTTTCAGCCGCTCTCCTATCGAACCATTCCGTGGCTGCATCAAGTCGGTTCGTCTGGGCTCCGATGAAATGGATTTGTATGCAAGTTACGCTAGTAAAGGCGTAAGGAACGCATGCCCTCTTGGAACTGTGAACACGGTGTGTTGATTGTAAAAATTTAGCAAATGTAAATATATATTATGAAAACGGAAAGTTAAGTGAAAGGGGAAGGCGGGATTCCTGCAAGCGTCATTGGCAGAAGGCCATGTGACCATGCGTCTTCTTGCAGCCCTCCATCAATGGCGCTGGAAACAGCCGCCCTCCTTCAGCAATGGTGCAAGGTCTTTAAAAGTGGGTATATGCAGGTAAGGGCATAGTTCACAGCTGCCGTATGGGAGGATACGCCCAACCACTGTTGCATCCTCACTGGTGCAGGGAGGAAGGTGTGCCAATAGGTTCTACGAAAACAGTTAACAATTCCCTTGAGGGCTAGGATTGAGGTTTCTGGCAGGGTTTGAGGTCAAAGCGGAGAGGCTTCTCCTTCATATTAGCTCACACCATCCTTACTATTTCTCGCAAAAGTTGCTAGTTCCAGGTATCAATTCTATCTGATCGATCGACGGCAGTATTCGAGAACATCACAGTTGCGGATGAAATGGATGTATCGTTACGCTTCAAAACTCGTCGCTCTTCTGGCACACTGTTGACTATACAGTCGGATGAGGATGACTTACTGGCGTTGAAGATTGAAGACGGTGTTTTGGTGGCAATGGCTGGCGACGATAAGGTTCGCCCCTACAACATGAAATTGTGGTTTATAAGACCGTTTTAAATAATGGTAGTCTGCAATCGGAGAAAAATTCTTGCAAATCCGATTTCCAGGTTTCCTTGGAGTTGGCCTCAGCCGCCGACGAGCAGTGGCACTATGTGTCCGTACGCAAGACCAAGGAGATTCTCCGTGTAGACGTGGACGATTTGCATTCAAAGGAAGAACGCCGAACTAATGGAGACGATGCTGTAGGTCTACTGTACCCTACTGTGAATGTGGCATGTGTAGCGCACTATTAGAGTAGTTTTACGTAGTAGTAGTAGTATGACTCATCGATCGATTTCCGATTCCTCACGTGAACTAACGTTCAGCCTTTCTCTGCTCAACAGAGTAGGTTGATTGGCACAGAGTTTTTCTCAAAAGCACGAACACTTCCATCCACTACATTCTATTGTAGTGAACAGTGGAGTGCGTGGCGCATTCCAACACTCTTAGCACTTCATCGATTGGCATTTTCATGATTACATTATCGATTGGTCTGTTCATTTACAGCGGGCACGCCGTTCAGCGGTAAGTTTGACCGTGTGTCGCCGTATGTACTACTCAAAAAAGAGTAAGCTGAACGCCAAGTATATGGGCCCATGAACAAAAATGGGCGGAGGCCTCGCTCCCAAAGGCAGTGCGCACGATGAATAAGGGCGGACGGTTACTGCCAGTGTCACTGGTGGAAGGCTGAGTGGGGTGTGGCCAAAGGCCCTTCCACCAATGGCGTCGGCAGTAGCCGCCCTCCCGAGCCATCGTGCCCACTGCCTTTAAGTCCTCGTTACCTCGCCCCAGTACGAGATAATCATTTCGCGCAGAAGGCAGAGGAATCAGAATCGTGATCTGTGGAATGACGGCGTCAGTACGACCCTCTCCCACCCTAAGTGAATTTTTTTATCTTGTACGACCCCCTTCTCTAGTCCTACCTACCATCCTCCTGAGTTCTCCCTGATAGCTTCCGAGATAGTTCCGGTTTCCCCGAGACAGCGCCCTGGAGGGGGGAGGGGGTCGGAATTTCCCTCCTCTTCCCCCGATGGGAATCCACTACCGATGTTGAACTCCAGGACAAGCCAAGGACAAGCCGAGATCTCCGCCCATTTTTTTTCTTTTCAGGGCTCGTGTGCTTGGCGTTTGAGTCGCTCTTTTCTCGCGGCCATTTTTTCTTTTCAGCGGGCTCATGTGCTTGGCGTTTGACGTCGCTCTCTCTTCGAAAAAGCATTAAAACGTTGTGGCTTGACACTGCAATAAACTGTTCTATTCGAAAAGGTTGTAAACGACAGTGACCGCCTTTACGTTAACTCAACTGATACTTTCAAATGTGACCTAATTTTTGGATCACTTCCGTTTGGCCCTCGATAAAGGGAATTACGGGGCTAATTTTCTAAAGCGAAGCGTTGGGCAGAGGTGGAACAAAAGCGCCATCAAATGGAATGTGTGGCCATATATTCTAGTTCAAAACGCTTTGATGTCCATTTCGCTGACTCTTCGTTTCTCCTTCATTATAGTGCAGGGAGGAGGTACTGCAAGATCCTCTTCGAGTCGCCGACGATTCCGCCGTCATGTCGTCGGGATGTGTCGGAGACGGGTCGTATAACGGAGAGTGTATAGATTTCGCGAGGTACCGATCAGCTTCATCTCTTTTTTTTTGTGGCAGTGGCGGTTAAGTTGACGAAATGTGTTGTTCGTATTCAAGCCAAAATCCATGAAGTATCTTCTTGACGGCTGTTCGCTGGCAGGCGATTCGTTCCGCATTCAAACACTACGAATTGCAACACGGCTGCAAACAGTGCCCACGATCACCTGAGGTAAGATTTATATCGGTCTTCTAGGAAGGGAGTTCGCCTTTGACATGATTGCGACTTTTCCCGAGAGCCGCTCTGTTCAATATCGGGAATATAATGAGTAGTTTATGGAAAGCAAAGGCCACAGCTTCTCGAAGTGCCCCAAATCCATACATTTATCGCGAACGCGAACAAAAACTATAAGCATTAGCCCAAATAATATGCGAGCTCTGAAAGTTCCCAAATGGAAAGTTTCGGTGAATAACGGAACCTATCAAGAATACTAACCGCAGGGACGCTTCCTCCTCCTCCAATGCATCGCTTCAGGGTTAGTACAGTTTATGATAGTCGAATGGCAGGAAACAATGTGTAAACCACTGCCTCTTCTTCGTTGCACCTCTCCACTACATTGTCTTGAAAAGAGGGTATTAGAGCCGTTATCTTTACTTTCCGGGAAGCAAAAAAATACATGCAATTACAATGTCTCACCTCTCATCCTCACAAAGATTTGCTAAGGTTAGTCGTCTCCTTGATCTCGCGCTAACTCTCTACACCGCTGATAAACTCGTATATAGGCAAAATCTTATTAGGTGATTCCGAAATAAAGTTCAAGACATTTGTTTCTGTGGCCACGTGGGCCCGGATCGCAGTCTAGGGTGCGTTAAATTGGGAGCTTTTGTTGTTGAAATTACTTAATGATATTGTCTACGCCGGGGTGACCACTCTAGCCTGCCATTTTGCTTCCTTTACTAGCTCTCCTGCCTTCCGTGCTGGCATGGAATCATGCGCCAGAGAGGAAAGCACACTTTAGCACTCACAACACCTATGCGATCAGGGTGAGTTAAGCCTTTGAACAGCTGATGAAGGGCAGCTGAGCGGGCTTAGGCAGCGTTCAGACTTAGCGACTGCAGCGTTTCGCTCGCGCGTTCGACGCAGTCGATGCGCATGCTTTTGAATGCATCGAACACGCGACTGTAGCGCTGCTATTGCGAAGTCTGAACACTGCCTTATAGAGAGATTCCGATGGATGGTGATTGCGCACAGTACGGCGCTGTATGGCTGATCTGTCATTCACTCAAAATAACACTGAATTTTTCAGGCGCCTGCGGAACTTATGACAACAGAATTGGCGACGACTACTGTGGCTCCCACAGAAGCAGAGGTATGATTTTTAATTTTTATTTATAGTTCACCATAAAATCACAGTAGAGAGGGACGATTTATAGCCTACTGTGCCCTCTACAAGCTCCACATCTACCACCACCACTACGTCCACTACCAGTACTACTACGACGTCAACTACAACTACTACTACCACAACTTCTTCTACGACCACCACAACCACCCCTTCAACTACGACCTCTACGACCTCTACTACCACCACCACTACCACTACAGCACCTCCTACCACGGTAAAAGAAGGAGCCGTGCTGTTGCCGGTAGAGGAACCTACATCAGAGCCACCAGATCTAGTAATAATCCCACTTGAGGAAGAAGTAACGACGCCGGCAGCAGAAGTGGTGACGACAACAGTGGAGCCAGGCATTCCAGTAGTGAGTGTGGCTGCCTCACATCTGTGGATCTGCCCTGAATAACGCTTTGCCCCTTCCCTATACAATAATGCTAATATCTCTGCGCTTTATAATACTC